AAATCAAAAACCACATGAAGAGATGACATTAACAACTCCGTTCTATGTTTTGCATAAACCAATAGGTGACAAGCAGAGAGAAAGTTAAACAAGCAACCATGCATTATTTATAAACCACCACCATCCGCACAGCCCGATCTATGAAAGAAACGATAAAATGGCTAGTGCTGGGCAAAATTTTGTAGTCTAGAGATGTTTCGATATCTCAAACTCCTGCAAAAGTGTCCAAAATCTCAGCCAAGTAAAATCCCAACTCGGGATCTTGTTGGGAAAGGCAAGAGAGGACATGCTTATTAGGAATAAAGCACATGGAAAAGTTTTCGGTAATCTTATTTATTACAATTAAGATTAGATTAGATTCTTTATATATATTTCAGAACTTACCGCAGAGAATTCCCAAACCAAGACAAAACATCAAAGTGTATCCAAAGTAGAAGCTGGTCTGGAAGAAGCCTGACATCTTGGTTTTCACATAGTAGTAGTATACCGAGTACAAATACACATAAACAGCGGTTGAGGCAGCAGAGAAGAATGATGTCCACTGCCAATGATAGTTCTCAGCATTTAGCAAGAAATATGCCCCCACAATTGTCACACAAATGGTTACAATGATGAGAATCAGGAAGACCAGCAGCATAAAACCATAGACATAATAAACCTGCAAAACACAAGTATACTTCATGAAATTACTTGAATACAGACACAAACAAAACCCTAAACTTTTTCATCATATCATCAGAAGTATGGTTGCCTAAGCTGGAGTAACTATAATCCAATATCTACCGACCTACGGATTTTATTTCCTTTCCATTGCAGTGGCAATACATTAAATACTACAGAATACCAATTTTACAACGTAAGAAAGTGTGAAAGGTTATGTTTGTCTATATTTTTCTTTTTAAATAGTACATAACCATTAGGTGTATTTTTATGTATGTAATCAAACATGCATCCAAATAATTTAAGACTACTGAAAAAATTGCAAATGTGATTCAATCTCCAAAGATGCTCATTGTCAAGCAATTAAAACCTCGGAGAAGAATTTCACCTTGTAATTCCAGAATGATGTGAAGACAAAATACATTTCAATGAATATGCTCCCAAACGGCAGAAGTCCTCCCATCAGAGAGACCACAGAGGGTGTAAGATACCATTTCTTCTCCGGGATTGGGCGAGGAATGGTCTTCACACGGCATGGATTGTTTGGAGCACCACTCCAGTTTCTTCCGACAACTGTACCGAGAAGTGCCAGGGGGAATGATATGAAAGCCCAAATTACGAAAACAACCACCATTGTACCAAAAGGAATAGCAGCTAGAGATCCATAAAATATAGCAATTGTGTTCAGGATGAACCCGATCCCAAAGCACAAGAATGGAAATAGAGATGCTGTAAGGATCATTGATTTTATCCACTTTTACCTGGAAAACAGAACAGAGGCCAAATTCTTAGAAGATCCACAAGGAAAGGGTTAAATGCAGGTCAGATGAGAAGGGAAAAGGAACATACCCCCATATCGTGAGTACATTCCACCACTCACATAACCGGAAATGAATGATGTAAACGCGTAACACAGTATAAAAGTAGTGACAATGGCTCCTCTCCTAAACAAAATAATCAGGATATGAGATTATTAGCATTAAGAAGCTGAAAGATGAAACACCAAAACCAACTAATCATGTGGTCACCATTATGGGAAAAAACGAGGGGAAAGAAAACAGAAAAAAACATGGTAAAAAATAAATAATGCCAGAAAAAACAAAAAGCTCATAAAACAGGGCTTCATGGAGTAGCACTATGCATTTATGTTCAACATTATATGCACATGAAAGTGGCCATGATGAGCAGCAATATATAAATGTCGACAGCTCCCATGGATTTTGAAATTCATACTATTTTCTTAACCTACCCGACATACAAAGTTCCCACAATTGCCAACAAGATGACAAGGAGAACAAGCAATGCTAACTGAGCGCCTGTGCCAACGACAGCAGAAAGCAAAGCCAAATTGCTAGGAGGCCTAAAAACATCACCATGGACAAGTTTCCAACCACACTCTTCACTCACGTCCCTTTCCTGAGAGCATAGGGGAAAGGCAAGGAGAACATCAATTTTCAGAAAACAGAAATTTCCGTAAGGAAAAAAGCAAAAAAAGTAAGGAGGTAATATCACCAAAGTTTCCAGATCATCATCTTCCCGAGCATATTTTGCATAGTCATTTCTCAGAGTTCGCATCAAGATCATTGACACCAAACCAGTGAGAAAGATAACCATCATGAATGAATTGAAAACAGAGAACCAATGGATCTGCATATTGCAACATGAAAAGCTCTTGGGAAATTACAAGAAAACAGAGCAACCTCACGCAAAAGTGACACTGATAAAGCTACTCACTTGGTGTTCAAAGAAAGGATAGTCTAAGTAAACATCAAAGCGACGAGCAAAAGTGACATTAGTAGGAAGCCATTTGATAGAATATGTCATGTCCAAATTTCTCCCTGCCTCCAGTGGTTTTGGACCCTCCTGAGTGAGATTGACATGAATAATCTGCAAAAGAAACCAGTTTATGATAACAGAAGATTCCAAAACATGGAACAGAAATCATATATATGTCATAAACCACAAACCTGATCCTTATTGTATTTAATAACAATATTCTTATGCGTGTAAAGGATATGCTTGCCATTTTCACTGTTCCTATCAGGATGCAGCTCCCCAACAAAGCCTAAAAAGTTCAAAGATATGCTCTTCGGTAACAAAGTAGATAAGGATTTGTAGACCAGAAAAAATTAAGAGGAAGTAGATAAATCACATACCCCATAAAGGCAGATCATCTGAACTTTCAGCATCGCGAAGAGAACAAGACATTGCATCAACAAGAAGGCAAGGATGATAAAGAGTAAGTGCTCAACAAAGAAATCCATATTACACAAAATAATCCTTAAAGCTTGTGTTTAGACACACAATACCAAGAGAAGCACCCACACATCCACACTCTCTGCATCTACGTACATGATTCCACCCTTATTTCTAGCTAGTATGATGCAACCATCCATAGTAACATGTCCAATCAAGAATGTAGGCTTGGTATGCTCCTTAAAATTTAATAGTGCAGATCAGAAACTTTTCTCTTCTTTGATTTAGAAGAGGGGAAAAAAGAACTAGGCAAATAGAGGATCATTACTAGAGAATTTGATGAAGAATAGCAGTATTGTTTGATGAGCCAACAAATGTAATGCAGCAGTAACTTATCCACCTAGCATCTAATGCTTCCACAAATTTCCTTGTAATCCCGAAAAATGCATATAACATTTTATTCAATACGGAGTGTGCTCTGCCCAAAGGCATACATGGCATCACATTTCTTGTTGGCCACCTACTATTCTACCATGAGATCCACGCTTCTGATGCTTTCAGATCCAGAGATTTTAAGTACTTAACTGATCTATCAAGTATCAATACCATTTTAGACCTATTCGTGCATGTAAAATAATGAGAAGAAAAACATACCTACGAAGAATTCAAACCAATAGCTGTTCTCAATCGCATCTTTGAACTGCTTGACCTTTGCTTCATCAAGTTCCAGTTGACAAATGACACCTTTGTCCACATCCTCTGTTGATGAAAAAAGGAGCAGAAGAATTTTTTTTTTGGAAATTTGCTTTTAAAAAAATTACAGCAATCAAAATGAAGACTCAAACAAGAGAAAGAAACAAAGAAAACGTACTTTGGAACTTAATATCAATTTGGCTATCGATCAGTTCATTTCCTCCAAGGACCTCACCAAGACCACCCCATTTGTGGGCAGGATTCGAACCCGGTTGACAAAATGGAAGGCTGTAATAGTTATACGTTTCTTGAGGATTGTTGTACGGACCAACTTTATTTACCCATAGAGTAATTGGATCATTTTGTTGATACTGCAAGAAAAAAAATATACTGCATCAATGAAATCTGAATATCAATCACATTATAAAAAATGATTATATGAGTTTTCATTCAGAAGAAATGAGATTTGAATACAAGGAAAAATGTATAAAGATCTAATTTCGAAACAGAGAAAGAATAACACGAGATCTAAAGATTCACCTTGTGATCTGACTCGGAAGCGAAAGCAAGCGAGAGGAAGAGGTAAACGGCGGCGAGAAAAGTGAAGGATCGGACGGAGGACGACATTGCGATCATCGGACGGCTGCTCGGATCTGAAAGATTCCCGAGGCCGATACGGAATGCTATGCTGCTGAGTTCTCTCCCTTTTATTTATTTATTTTCTTGTTTTGATCTTCTTGCAGATTTGGGAGAGAGTCTTATTTGTTTTTTGCTTACATGAATCAGCTCTCTAATTTTTCTCATTAAAATTTTAGGATATTTAAGGTCAATAGGGTCCGATCTTGAACCAATGGAGTAATGGACCTTGATCGTTTACTTTTATTTCAAATTATTTACGTTTCATTTGTATTTATTAAAAAAATTAAATTATGTTAAGGGATTTTTCAAATTAATCACCTAAAAAATTTTTAATTTCTTTACGATCGTGATATTTAAAATGATAACATTTGTAACGTTAAACACTTAAACTAATTAAAAATTAATCTAAACACTTAAATAGAAAAACGGTATATTTCAAACAATTATTTTTATATTTAGCATTTTTATTATTAATTCATTTGTTTGTTATTTATAATGGTTAATCTCAATTTTAAATATATGAATGTAAACAAACCTTATAAAAAGTTTATATCCTAATTAAAAAAAAACCGTTTAAAAGTTGTAAAAAAACGAATGGAAGGTAGATTAAAATTGTGTTTAACAAAATATAGTTGTAACAAAGCACGGTTAAGAATTCGTTTGTATTAAGGAAAGAAAAGGTTGCGAGTCCTTGGCCTTTCACAAAACATTCTCTCTTTGCTCGTTCCTTTTGCAACCCTAAACCACAAATTGAATCTCTGGCTTATTGCTGTTTTCGTAACACATTCGTATTAATTCTCAGTACCCTATAATCTGTCTCATGGGAGATAGAGATGATTCTCATCGTCATCGTGATCGTGATCAGGATCACGAGCGTCCTCGTCCGGCGACGGATCTTTATGGCATTATTGGCAAGTCATGCAAAGCATACAAATCTCTTGTCAATAAATGGTACTCTGATCATAAACATTCTCCAAAGAACAACCAAGACGATCGCAAGTTTAAGGATGATGATTCAGATCAGGTAATTTCCATGCAAACCATAATGTATGTATGTCTTCATTTTCCTTTGAAGGTTTATCTCTATACATATGTCTGTATGTATGTTGATGTTCGATTTTCTTTTTCTTCGAATTTCAGACATCCACTAAAAAGGTGAAAGAAGAGAAATCGAAAAAAGGGGAGAAACCTTCAAAAAGAGAAAAGAAAGAGAGCCTAAGCGCGGATGAAACCGTATTTTCTCGCCAATTTTCACTTCAAGCGAAGGGTTCGAGTAGAAGGAGTCACACACCTACGCCTGAACCGACCTACTTGTCAAAGAATTCGAGCCGATCATCAAGCAGTCCCTCCAAACCCTCGCTTTTGAGAACCTTAAGTCGAAATAGCCGAAGCGAAGACGAAATGTCACAACTACAACAAGAAAAACAACAACGAAAGACAAGTGCTAGCGTCAGTCGAGCTTCCACTCTTTTGAGAAGTACGAGTCAGAAAGGCACATCAGAAACAGAAAACCGCTCGACAAGTACGAGTCGGAAAGGTACATCAGAAACAAAACACCGTTCCAGAAGTGCGAGTCGAAAAGGTACATCAGAAACAGAAAACCGTTCTAGAAGTACAAGTCGGAGTCGTCCCACTCCTCTTGTATTCTCTCAATCCATGACTCGGAGAAAACCTCAGCCGGTCGAGAAAACACTCGAATGCACCTTGGAAGAGCTTTGCTTTGGAGCGGTAAAGAGGATCAACATAGTCAAAGATGTCATCTCCGAGGAAGGGTACGAAACTCCACTTCCTTTCCTTGTTATATGCAAATATTCATAACCAAACCCTATCAAAATCCCAGTTAGCTCCATCTATGAATACCTTTATTTAACTTTCCATGTAAAACGATGACAGAATAATCGTGAGACAAGAGGACACGCAAACAATAAAAATAAAGCCAGGATGGACAAAAGGAACAAAGGTTATCTTCGAAGGCAAAGGCGACGAAAAACCTGGATATCTTCCAGCAGATATCAAATTCACGATACAAGAACAGCGGCATCACTTGTTCAAAAGAACGGGAGATGACTTGGAGATAGTAGTTGAGATCCCATTGGTGAAGGCCTTAACAGGTTGTCACCTTGCAGTCCCTTTGCTTGGAGGGGAAACAATGAGTATATATGTTAGTGACATCGTATATCCAGGGTATTTAAAGGTGATTCAAGGCCAAGGGATGCCTAAGGCCAAAGAAGGCAATCGAGGTGATCTCCGAATCACATTTCTAGTCAAGTTCCCACTGAGTCTCACCGACAAACAGCGGTCGGAAGCGTGCAGTATATTGGAAGGTTGTTCTTGTTAGGTATCACTAGATGATGGGTATTGTAATGTTTTTGCAGCATGCAATGTACTTTAGTTGTCTTAAAATATGCTGCTTTGTTTGTAATTGAAACTTATTGTACTACTTTAAAGAGAAAAATTGCATTAAAAAAACAGCAGGGTTGGCTTATTTTGACATCAATGTCAAGATTCTCTTCTTTTTAAGTTTTCCTAGGTGAATTTTTAGTGTTTTTAACTATACAGATTTCAGAATATTTGATTTTGTACCATATACGTATGAATGCATGTTATGTTCATCTCTGGTATAGATGACTCGAACATTAGCTATACAAACATCTAATACTAACACCGTGTATCATCTCCATTGTTTTTAAGAGTGCCACCCAGCATGCATGAGGCTATTGGATGTTTTGCGTTGCACGATCTTCATGCCTAGGCGAGTCTGTGTAAACCGGCTCTTGTTCTCTCACATCCCGGAACATGGAAAAAAATGAATTGCGACCCTCAGATGAAGCACCTCCCAAGATCCATAACAACAGTGAGTTGAATGAACTTATAGTCCCAGGATTAGAACCAGCTTCGGCTCTCGGCAGCACAGGTCGACTGGGAATATGCACAGGGCTGTCAGTCTGGTTCACGTTGTCATTTCCTGAGTGTCCTTGAGGGCCAGCAGCTTCTCCAGCTCCATTTGCCGGCACTGCTCGATTGGATCCAGTTCTTGACCCTAGCCCAGAGGAAGGATCCGTATTAGCTAGGCCTGGATTTAGAGCGTTCAACCTTCTAATGTGTAGAGTAGATGCAAGTATGGTAGAGGAGGTGATATGGAAGTCTGGATGCTGCTGAAGCTGAGACCGCCTGTTTTGCATAAACCTTTGAACTGCTGGTACCTAAAAGAGTAACATGCCTATAATAACATCTGGAAGTATAATTTTTATTTTAATAAAATATAAATGAGAACTACATTACTCCGGACATAACCAAGTACCTCCAAACGCATAAAAATCTTAAAAAATTTTAACATAACCATTTCTGAAACATATCGGTTTGAGATATTCATATCCAACGACTAACCTGGTTTGAGGCCCTTGGTTTATTTATTATCATCTTTTCTTCTTATGTTATAAATTATGCATGTTATTACAATTAAGTAAAATTTTAAATTATATATGCACATAAAAAGAGTAGATAGAAAATTTTATATGCAAATCATAACATAGAAAAGAAGATTGCAAGCTTGTTCCATGACTATTACCTCGAAACGATTCCAGAAGTACAGAATAAGGTGCTGCATGAATGCTGTGGCAGTAGATAGAGCCAAATATGAAAAACCTGGAGAAATTAAAATATAGATTTCAGATAATATAAACAATTTCCAGTAAAACAAATCATATGACGAAAGTATTGGATCATACCATATACATAGGAGAAGAAATAAATGTGAAAAACCAGAAAATAGAGCGAAAAGAAGCGAGGAAAGAACTTCATTGATATTGGTGTCCGAACACTGCAAACAGAAATAATTTAAATAGGTGAGAACGAGAAGTAAACTCGTTGGATGCATATTCATACATTGTGCATATTAATCCACACCCAACTGAAAAACAAAAGATGCCATATTGATGATATAATTTAAGTGATACGATTATAAGCTATAGTCAAGAGCTGTGTAGCTTCCCCCCTTAATTTTTCTTAAATTACTCGTGTCCAACACAATTTCAGCATGGGGTAGGATTTGACTCTTGAATGACCCTCTAAATACATGGAAAAAGAAAACAATCAAATATAGGCATGTTGAACAGACACATCCGACATTTACACCCGAATCCAAATAACATAGGTTGAGAGAGTGAGAGAGGGACCTGATCAGTATAAATAGCTCACATAGCCAGACAAGAACTAGAACCATGAAAGCCAATAGTTGATCATCGTAGAACTCAAACAGAAAAAATAGGATGCCAATCATAATCTGCAAGACAACAATAACATCCTTTATCGCTCATGGCAAATGCTTTGGAGAGTATTTGTTGTGTGATAAGTTGATATAAGATTTATGCCTACCGGTACAAATACAAGCGATTCAATTACGTGAACAAATATCAACTGAAATGTCGGAAGCCTATGTCGAGCATGGTGTTGAAGCTGCACTGCAATGATTTGAGAAAAAGAGATCCAATTCATGTTTGAAGACTGAAGGAAAAACGATGCATTTTAACAATGTCAAAACCGCTGCCACCTCACTCTAGCCACAGATTCATCCACCAATATAATCAGATTGAATGACTCCAGTCAATTATAGACAAAAACTCATAACAAAGAGAGTCTAAACAAAAGTGAAAAATTGGTATCCATTTCTTAATCATGAACCTCTTCAACAAATTGGAAAGAATGCAATCCTATGGCTGCACAAACTTGCATTGCTTGCACAATGTCATATGCCCTGCCAAGAAAATAGAAGTTAACGAACCTGTGAACTTAAGCATGCGAGTCTGAGTTTCCCTCAGTGTAAATGATACAGACATGGTGGTTGTGAAAAATACGAACAAAGACATCATGAGCACACCACACTTGGTGACGAGATAGTCTGCATTGAAACCAGATAAAAAGCAACTCCAAAGAAAATTTCATCCACTTGCGACAAAATAAGATTATAGAAATGAAGCATGGCAATTATCTATTATCATGTTCTAGACTTCTAGTGCAAAAGGGCCACGACTTAAAACCACATCCTTGGACATGGTTTGCTAGATTTTAGTTAAATTGTTTCTGAAAAAGTCGGGTATATTCCAAGGGCATTTAAATGTAAGGGCAACCTAATAGCAAAATGTTACATGCACAAGTGATGTTGTCTATGTTGCTTCTAATCTTTGTTTTTTTCTTTTCTTAAAGCACACATGTCAGAAACTCGTATCCGACATGACTATGGAAATATGACCCCCCAAAGAACCTCCAAACATACAAGAAACTTAGAAAAACTTAAACATATCCGTGTAGGACTCATACACATGTCAAGCATTCACACCCAAGTAAGAATAACATAAGGTATTGAAGAATTAGATGGCTAGTGTAATCAAATGTCTTGATGTGTGAAGAAATTAAACTACAAACCTCCAAGTCTTGTAGAACCATCTGGCAATTCTTGTGCATAACTAAGATTATAGAACTCCTTGGTCTGAAAATTATAAAGATAACCTGCAAAACAATTTCCAAACTTGTGTAAAGAACAAAGATGGGCAAAATAGCCTCAACATCACCAATCAAAAAACAAACATGCAACAACCCACTTAATGCATAAAGCCCATTGGCATAAAGCTAATCTAATCTAAATTTAGCATGTCATATGCTATATACAAGGTACCAAAAATCAGCAACAAGGTCCGACTGAAAAGCAGTAAGTACAATAAAAGCCACCATTAGGATTGGAAGGATGTGCAGCGAGTCAGCTTATAATCTCATACTGACCACTATCAGCACTAGAGTTAAGTACATAACCTTACAGGCATGATTGTTAAAGATTATTGAATATAAAGAAAATTACCAATCAAAGATGTTACGTGACTAATAAAATGAAAGCTAACCATGAAAAGATAAAAGAACCTTAAAATGAAATACAGAAACATCTAACGAACTGTATGAAATATTGCGTGATAGATGTGTTGTTACATAATGTAGAACTCAAAAAGCTATCGAAGAAAAGTGTTATGCTGCATTCGTATACAAAATATTACCTTGACCAGGCTGATGCAAAAAACTATTCATCATAATAGTGTCATACCCAACAAATCTATTGATGAGAAGCTGCTGCCACCTGCAAATAAGATGGCATCAATATATATGGCTTTCTTATTCTGTTTACTAACAGCACCCACAGAAATGTATCAATCTACAAAAAGATGAAAATGGGAGTTGCAGATATTAAAGTTCAGCACATATTACCTGTTCCCAAAACAGGGATTTCGAGCTGATATGCTAATATTAATAGTACGTATGTTATGCTGAGACTTTGCCGCTTCAGGCAACAAGAAGTAACCCTGCAGCAGTAGCATTTTTTTATATGTATCATATACTTGAAAAGATGGATATTTGTTATCCACGCACAACATGTCATTGAATGCATCAAAGACTCAACAAAACAAGAGAAGGTTCGGACAGGGAAAGAAAATACCTTTTCCAAAGAATAGAGATAAGTTGGTTCAAGTGCTTTACTTCTTTTCTCAAGCCAGTGCACTGAACCAATAGCACAAATATTTTATTAAACCTAAGAATTCATGATCATCTCAGAAGTTAAAATACTCGCAATTAGACCAAGAGAACTAAAATAAGAGGATATTATGATGTTATCTACCTGTGATTGAGTTAAGCTTGTTAAAGTGCAGTATACGCAACCATTTAGGGACATCAGGATTTAGATTTAAACCTGTCATATTCTGCACTCAAGAAGTTCAGAACTCAACAAAGAGAAGTTTAAGCCATGAAGAAAGGAAATGCTTGCTTCCTTGTTCACTCACCAACAACTTCTGGAAACTTCCGAAGGTCTGAACTGCATGTCTCCAAATGAAATATAAACGTCTGTACCACTTTTTGCCAAACTGAACAACAGCTGCTTTAAATGTCTGTTTCGCTGATAAAGAGAAACCATTTTGTGTCTCCTTCTCACTTTTAGAAACAACATTGTCAATATTTGGCTTAGAGATTTCACCATTGGTTGTGCTTTCTGCATGCTGCTCAATAAGATCACCATCAGTATTCCAGAACTTCAATGCTGATTTTCCCTTCCTAGCACCAGAATCAAACCAGTTCAACCAAAACTTGGCATCCAGCAACATCAACCCTTCATCATCAACTTTTGCAACTTCCGCATTTTTAGTTGCGGTTTTCAAATCAGGTTTATTTACAACAAAGGATTCAGACTCATTTCTTGACCACAAGCCAGCAGTGGTTATCTACAACAAAGGACGAATCTGATATCCAATTTCTTGAAAGTTCATGTATCATTAATAAATTGCAAAATAAAAGCTGATATCTTACCTTAATCTGAATAAGTTGTAATTCATTTAAATCGATTCCAGAAAGCTCACTCGAACATCCAGGCTTCATATGTAAGAAAAGCAAAACAAATTGTTCAAATTTTCCTTATATGTCAAGAAAAATGTTTTAGAGAAAAAGGACAAAATAGTCACATGTTGGCCATCCCTCCTACTATAGTGTGGAGCAAAAACCTATAACCGATTCATACCATATCAAACCAAACCGTAATCAACCCCTACCACCGTCATCCTAGTTCAATTCCTATGAAGATAACCGTTAGTTCCTTAATGCTATTAGCAATCCTGCAGACGCTATTGTCACAAACAAGGAACCATCCCAAACTATTTCTAGTATTTGGAAAAAAAAAACCTTATTCCAAAGGTAGTTTTAATTCATTGCAATCATCATTTGTACAATTAAAATCAGTTGATCAAACGGTCAGCAGTAGGTGAACCGTTGTCTCAAACTTTGATTATAAAATTAAGTCAGTAAGTTGGTCAAGTTCAACTTTGATAATAATTAAAAAAAACCGTAACGAGTCGGAATCATAAACAGTGAACATCAATTGAATCTAAAACAGTCCAAAAACGATATACCCAGAAAAATTTAGCTTGAAATACCTGTTGGACATAATTGGCATGCATAGTAACAAGAACACAGAAGGAAGTAATGGCAATAAAGAGATAGATATACTCCAAAGCTACCCTCACTCTTGGCGTTAATATCTGAGAAAATCTCCCTTGAACCCTCATAAATGTTTGCTCTGGATCCATTCCTCTCCCTTTTACTTTTTCTCTTCTAAATTTTCCTTCCTCGCAATCACTCTTTTCCACAGCTTTCAGATTAAGCGACCTTTCAATTTTTTTTTTCTCGTTTTCCCTTTCTTTTATTGGAAAAATTTGTGGGTTTATCTTTACAATAGCTGTCGGATAATGAAAACCGTTTGGGGAATCTGATTTGACCGCCATTCTTCTTTTAATTGGCTAATTCCATTAGGCCTCCTCAAACTATTGATCAATTTCTAAATTGGTCCTAATTTCCAAAACGATAATTTTAATAATATGAGACAATTATAATGTAGTATTTGTTTGAAATTTATTTTAATTTATTGACAATATATACATATACAACAGACTCAATTACTTGAATTCATAACTTTTAAGAAGAATAACATTATCTTTTATTACTAAGTTTTTAATAAATTATGATAATTATTAAATTGAATCCACCGATTAATTGAGATGTTTATTATCTAATGTTTATCTTTTATAACAAAAAAAAAAAAAGGATTGAGAAACCTTAAACCAGTGGAGTCGAATACACCTTCACCACCTTCATCGTCTTCACCACCTTCACCACCTTCGTCTTCAACTCCTTCATCCTCTTCATCCACGGATACGCTGCCTTCGTCTTCATCTACATCATCAACGCCGATGGCATCTTCTCTTCTTCTTCTTCACCGTCAACACCTGCACCGCCCTCGTCATCATCAACAACATCCACATCCACATCTACGTCAACACCAAAATCGCCCTCAACAAAAGCATCACCGATGCCCTCACCAAAAACCTCATCTAATACCACCGACAATAACAATCAAAATAACTACACTACCACAAGTAGCACTGCACCAACACCACAATCATCACCACCGACAACGTCTTCCTCATCAACATCACCACTGTCACCGCTGCCACTAACAAATTTAACATCCGGAAACGACTTACCGAGGTCTTCAACGCCAACACTTTCACCCTTACCATCACATTCAAATACATCCGCCCCTCAGATTAATCAAAGTACACCAAAACCATCAGATGTGCCATTTTCATCGACTTTGCCGATCATAATAGGTGTCCCGATTGCTGTTGGTTTATTACTCGCTCTCATCCTAGTATTCATAAACGCAATGCGTGATAAATTGGAAAAAAGGTTCAATAATAAAAAACGAAGAGGTAAATTTCTAGTTGTTATTGTCGTAACAAAAATGATGATGTTCTAATCATTTCTTCTTTTTTTTAATGAAAAATGGGGTGCAGGTGATGGTGGGGATGGAAAAGGGCAGCAAGCAAATGATGATGTGGCTATTCATGTGAGCCCAGGTGCAAGTGTAGGTTATGAAGGGCAAACCCCATCACCACAAGGGCTCAACAAATGAAGAGCTAGCCATTGCAACTCAAGGGTTCTCTGAAAACAATCTGTTGGGTCAAGGCGGGTTCGGCTTTGTCCACAAAGGAGTGTTGCCCAATGGAAAAGAAGTAGACGTTAAAAGTCTAAAATCCGGTAGTGGGCAAGGCCAACGTGAGTTTCGAGCTGAAGTCGACATCATTAGCCGTGTTCATCATCGTCACCTCGTGTCCCTTGTTGGGTATTCCATTGAATTCCACCTTCATAGACGTCGTAACTATGCTTTCTTTTTTGCCAATATTCCTTACGTTTAATTTTGAATTTTAACAACACTTTGATAAATTAATACTTGTTAAATAAGTTTCAGATTTGAATTTTAAGTAAATTTTACCCACATTAATAAATTGTTGTTTGATTGCAGAGAAAGGGCTACCAAACATGGATTGGTCTACTAGGCTTAAAATTGCATTGGGAGCAGCTAAAGGTCTTTCATATTTGCATGAAGGTTGTAAGTACAAATTTCATATGTTATTGTTATTAATTGGACATCTATTCCTGGATAATATTTGCTAATGTTAGATATCTCGGAGTTCCTCTTGTCACTCGTAAACTAAATGCAAAAGACTGTATTCCTCTCTTCGATAATATCAAACTTAAGCTTCATCATTGGTCGGGAAAACTTTTAAGCTATGCTGGGCGTCTTGAGCTTATTAAAACTGTCATATACAGTGTTATTAACTTCTGGAGTAGGCAATTTATCCTCCCTCAGAAAGTTATTAATCGTATAGAACAACTTTGCTCTCGTTTTCTTTGGAAAGGTAATGATACAGCTGCAAAAGGTGCTAGGATCAGCTGGGATAAACTTTGTTGTCCCAAATCTGAAGGAGGTCTCGGGTTGAAGAACATTCACTTCTGGAATAAAGCCTGCATGTTCCAACTCATTCGGAAAACTCTGGCTGTAGAGGGTTCTTTATGGGTCGCATGGATTCATTGCTATGTTATTAAAAATAACGACCAAAGCGATGTCAATGTTAACTCTTCCATTAGCTGTACCATAAGGAAACTCATGAAAATTAGAAGAGAAGCCCTCCCAAATGTTACTGCTGACACCACGAAAACAAAAGAAATTTGGGATCATATTAGACTTCATAGAGACAAAGTTTCTTGGCATAAAGTGATTTGGTTTCCTCTTCACATCCCTAAGCTAAGCATAATCTCATGGATGGCTATTCTGGATCGCTTTCCTACTCGAGATAGACTAATTAGAATGGGAATTATTACTGATAGTCTTTGTATTTTGTGCAATGAGGATCCTGAATCCAGAAATCATTTGTTTGTTGACTGTATTTATGCTACTTCTCTTTGGAATTCTATAATGAATCTTTCTAACATGAGAGATACACATAGGTCATGAGAATCAAGGATTGAATGGGCTACTCAAACTTGGAAGGGTAAATATCTCCTTTCCACCATTTTGAGGATCGCATGGACTGCTTTTATATACTTCATTTGGGAGGAAAGAAATAGAAGACTTTTCAACAGAGGATCCAGAACTGTAGATCAACTTCTCACGTCTATAAAGGAGCAAGTTTGAATCAAACTCAGTGACAAGAATACTAACAGACTAGATTATGTTAATTCTAGACTTTGTAATTATTGGGGTATAGACTAAGCCTTTTGTTTGTAAATATGTGTTTATACTCCTAATAGGGATGATTGTTGTACTATGAACCATTCTTACTTGAGTAATAAAATCTACTTATCCAAAAAAAAATATTTGCTAATGTTGTTTAAGGAAAACATGCTACCCTCGCATCATTCATAGAGACATCAAATCTGCCAACATCCTACTTGAATTTTGTTTTGAACCATGGTGTGTCACACAACTTTTGTATTAATAATTTTGATTTAATTAAATTATTCTATTCTAACTTTATATATATATATATATATATATATATATATGTAAATCAGGTGACGGATTTTGTATTACAACAAAATAAATTTTTAGCGACGTTTTAAAATGTCGTTACGCCGCAAAAAATGCAAAAACCCAATTGGGTTGCCTAAGCTTACTCAAGATAGTATTTCTCATATCTCGACTCGTGTCATTGTCATGGGAACATTTGGGCAAGTAAAAATAGTATATATTATATCTAAGTTTTCCTTGGTATGCCGGAAGAAAATCGGAAAGATGAAAATTGAAATGAAAAAAAAATGGAAGGGTAGAGATTGAAATAAGCGCACTTAACCTCTATTGGTCTAATTCTGAATCTCATCCTTTCACTTTAGGAAATTTAAAAAATTAGTCCCTTTAATTTGTCATAAACGTATCCTCATACTTTGCAAATTTGCAAAAAATAGTTCAATTAGACAATATTGTTAACAGGGGCGGAGTCATAATGAAATTTTTGTGGATAAGTATAAACAAGAATAAAATGATATTTAATCTAATTGTCAAGCCATCAATTTAGAACTAAAAATGGAGAGATTAAGATAAAATTTGTTTAATTTTTAAATTGAAAGAAATATATAATGCATTTAAACTGAAAACTAGAAGGCAAATACTTAATTTGTCTTGTTTCAAAACTATGGGATCTAAAAAACAATTGTGCCCAAACAATAGAAGGCTATGATCTAATTCACTTTGTTTCAAAACTAAAAACACCTAAACACCAATTGAATCTTAAAAAACTAAAGAGACAAAATTTAAATTGTTTAATTTCAAAACTAAGAATGACCTAAAAAAATTTGGGGTCATGACCCCTCCCACGTTGCACGTAGCCTTGTTCTTGACGGTTAAACCTTATAGTTAAATTATTGTCCATGAAATAAACAATTATATATAAAAAGATTTAGCAAAAATCAATTATTTTAATAAGTTGCATAATAACTCAGCAAACATAAGCAATTTAAGCTTACATGTTTATCACTTTTCAATTTTTTTTACATGTTTACCAATAATTAGACTAACTCTCGGTTCTGGTAGAGTAATAGAATCAAATTCAAATAAATCAATATAGGGGACTAACATCTCAATTTTGGTAAATTCAAAATTATACCAACTTATATTTATTTTTCATTTTCTCTTCTCATATTATTATAACAATCATCTTTTCTATTTTTTTTCAAATTTGCATATTTTGATTTTAATAAATAAATCAATGCAGGCACTTAGCACCTGAATATGTACAAAGTGGGAAACTGACAGGCAAATCTGATGTTTTTTCCTTTGGTGTTGTGTTATTGGAATTGATAACCGGACGCCGGCCGGTGGATCCACCATCGAATAAGGATGAAAGCTTAGTAGATTGGGTACAAAAATTATGATTATTTTTTTTCTGGTATATATAAGCTGAACATGTTTGATAATAACACCAACATGCACTAATAAACATACATAGGCAAGGCCGTTATGTGGAAGAGCAATGGAGGATGGAAAGTTTAGTGAATCGGTGGATCCACGCCTTGGAAACAAATTTGACCACTATGAGATGGCATCCATTGTTTCATGTGCTGCTGCTTGTATTAAGCTTTCTGCTGGATTCACGACCCAAAATGCGACAGGTCATTTCTTCCTTTTAAATAAATTGCGTTTCTATAAATTTATTCATTCAATTCTGATTAGATTTTTGTAAAATATCATTATTTGAATATTTTGTCTAAAATTTCTAAATCTGTTGACGAAGCAGATTGTGCGTGCATTGGAGGATGGTGTTCCATTGGAGGAACTACGTGAAACCCCCAGACAACAAAGTTCCAGCTTCAACTCCAAGAGCGACGATGGTAGCAACTAGCAACCACTAGTGAAGACAATAACAAGTTTAGCCAATAATTCTTATTTTTATACTATCAAACTATGTAATTTAGTTTTATTTTTTTCTTTCTTTAAAATATGATGAAACAAAGTTCTTTAACATTTAACTTAAGGTTATTATCAAAAGAAAAAAAATACCTTAAGGTTAAGTACTAAAGAAATCAAGAAAAGTAAAAATCAATTTGAATACTAATATTTGGATTTTTTTGAAAAATTTAGTTTTATTATTATTTAAATGTTTTGTTCTTTATGTTAATATTTTTAAATTTAATTTAATTATTATATATTTTTATGTAAATTTCATATTGGAAAAATAACTTAGGTCATTTAATTATTATATATTTTTATGTATATTTTTGAGGAAATGTGCATTTTGAGCCATTCAAACTAGGCAGTACTTGCAAATTTAGGTATGGGTCGCACTCCCTATTTTTAATTATTTGAAAAATAAATGAATATTTGTTTGATACATTCTCCATGTATATATTCATACACAGATATTTATAAATATAGTAGTCACCGAATATAAATTTAAGTATATATCTAATCTAATTTATAAATCAATATAATCCAGAGGCTTAGTACGATTTGAAAAAGATTGTACCAAAATTTGTAGACATACATTTGAATATATATTAAGGAATTTTATAATTTAAATATTTTAAAAAAATTGAGAATATTTATTTATATTTATAGACATACATTTGAATATATATCGAGGAATATTATAATTTAAATATTTTTTTAAAAAAATTAAGAATATTTATTTAATACTCAAGATTTGAGTGCTATAATAAAGCACTGAAATTATGGATACCCTTTCTCATATATAGCTGTATCCGGTTCATTTTTATTTGATACCAACTCTGGACGTGTTTTGCACATTTTAGGAACTATTTTCGAATTTCTAGCATCAAATAAGTTGGCATGTGTAGTATCCATCCTATCTTTGTTTCTCATATTTTATTTTTCTTTAGTGCACCGTTATAATATATATACATAAAATAATATATATATATTATCAAAATAGTTAATAGTACTCTTGACGGACATATTATGTATATTAATACTAATGTATTTTGAGTGAATAAATTAAATAACATCCCCGTTCGATTTGATGATATTTAATCCTTAAACGTATGATATTCAAAAGAGTCTGTAAGACTGTCCTGTCAAAGAAGAATAGATTAGGCAGAAGTGGTACTAATTAGACAAACCTTTTTACCAGAAAACCGAACATTCAACAACAAATTAGAAGAAGAAAGTGGGCAAGACCTTTGGCACGAAAGTGAACAACAAAGCCAGCTAGAAAATGCCTGCAAAATGATGTTCACGATGCAGACCAGATGGCACATTGTTATTGTTAATGAAGGAATTTCAGTTAATATTATGAAAAATAACAGTTACGGGACAGTATGCCCTAATCTTATCCCTTCGTAAAAAACTAGAATCCAAACAATATAAAATGAAATTACTTTACTGTGAAGTTAAGTAGAAATTTGAATTTGTACAGTAAAAGCACGTGAATTATGCGGATGAACTCACTACTAGCGGAAACAAGGGAAGTGACACCTTCTTTCCCGGAGTCTTACTCTTTACGAACAGTACATTTTACTGTTTCGTTTCTTATCACTCCACCAAGTCACATGATTTATAAACAGTAGAAAAATTGGTTTGTTAGATTTATGCCCATCTGGTCAGGTCAGGTCATATACCCCCCCCTACTCTTGTGTTTATAAAGAGCAGCTATTGCCAAAGCTTTGCTCATATATCATCCATATCTACTGCTAATAATATTACATTGTTGAGAGAAACAACGTTAATGGCGATGTCGTCTGGTTCATGGACAGCCAAGCAAAACAAGGACTTCGAAAAGGCATTGGCGGTGTATGATAAGGACACTCCAGATCGTTGGTACAATGTTGCCAAAGCTGTGGGAGGGAAAACCGTGGAGGAAGTGAAGAAACACTATGAGCTTCTCCTTGAGGATGTGAAGCGCATCGAGTCCGGCCGAGTCCCCTTCCCCAACTACTGGAATCACTCAGCTGGTAAAACCCCACACTAGTGTCCAACAAACTTGTTATGCCTAATCCCTTTCTTGTTGTGTTTTTTCTCTTGAAATCTGCAGCATGAAAAATCCAAGTAAAAGCATTGGTGGACTTGCATGCATATCCAATAAAGATATATCAGACTGCTGCGAGTATCAGTTATATAGCAGGAATTAGTTGTAGATTTATGCCGCCATTAATGTATGTATTAGGAGGAGAAAAATAATTTGTGATCCCTCCTTTGTTTTTCGTTACCAAAGAAGCTCTTATTGGAATATAATATATGAAATAAGCCATTTGTGTATCGACTAAATTCGAGATGGAGTCGGGGATTTTGTTTTACAAGTTACGACGTTTTTTATTCGTAACATTCAAACTAAAAACCTTATTTAAAGAATATTATGTTTCTTGATACTTGATCTAACAAAAATCAATAGACACACGCATACATGAAAAATAATACTTATTGTATAATGAGACATACAGCATTTTAAAATCGTTTTATCATTTTTTTTATAAAAAAAAACTATAATATAAACCTATGAATGTATTCTTTAATCAATAATTTAATGTTATATTTGGCCTGCGAAATTCTTTAATTATCAGTACGATGATTCAATAATGTAAATTTGAAACTAAAGTAGGATATATAAGAATGTTAAAACAGATATAATCTGACAATGAAAGTACAAGAAAATGAAGGAAAACAAGGTTACATTAAAATGGGATGCAAAAGAACAATAATGGAAAAGCGTGTGCGTATGAGTATATATATGGGGTTAGATGGCAAAAATGCAACAAAAGCATGTGGAAAGAAAATGAGTGTGTTCATACAGTTCACGTATTATAGTTAAATGTGCATTTTAATGTTTATTAATTTATAGAATTGAGTATTTTGATCTTTAAATAAATATAATATTATCACATGATACGTCATTATAAAAAATAAATTATTTTTAATTTATTTTTAATAATATATCATCAGTTAACATATAAAATTAGTACGAACCAAGCGATCTCGATAGTAAAAAAATTTATTGTATTCTTTAAAGTCTCGGGTTCAAGTATGATGAGTTTCAACGGTGTGAGCGTTTAATGTTAAATTGTTGAAAGCTATCTTTAAACATATACTACTTTGTACTTACTCTAGATTAATATATATATATATATATAATTATAAATCAGTAATAAATTTGATAAATATATATATAATATTTAATTTTAGAAGTTCAAGCGAACATTTTACACTCTTATATGTAATTAGTATTATTATCAGTTTTACTGTCTTACAGTAAAACCAAACATTAAAAGATAAAGTAAATTTTCATAATAAAATAATGAGACGTGGTGCAAAATAATTAGCTGCCACAAAGGGTAACATTGACGGTGTTTAGTAAGAATAAAATTGTGAAAAAGGACAAGATTGTCAGCAAATTAAGCTCCATATATTACTAAATTTAGGAGCATCGAGACCTTAACTAACCTAACCTCTCAATTATCACCCTTTCCTATAAGTCAGGGTCAGTCCCCCATGCCTCATGAAAAGATGTATAATTATTTTTTTAGTTTTTTATATTATTACTTATATCGTATAATTTTATATATTATAACACATGTATAAAATTAGAGGTATTTACATATATATATATATATATATGATTTTGTTGATAAATTTTAGTTGTAGATCAAATTAAATTAAAATTTATATAGAGTATTAGATGACAATTAATTAATGAATGAGAAAAAATTATTTATATTTGACCCATTAGCATTTATATGTAATAGCTTAGAATATGATCAAGATAATGGCTCAAATGTTGCTCTAATTTTCTAAACATAAGGTATGAAAAAAAATCTCTCAACAATACAGAAACAACAGGCTTAGATCATGAAAATTTGATCCCGATTAATTAAGACAACCATGTCATTTGGAGGATCTCAATGAAGAATCGTGATTATGGGGTAACCTCTACTCATTGTAGCAAGTTTGTCGGCCACTGTATTAACTTCAAGACGTATGTGGCGTATCTTCAATTCCAAACCCCTTTTTAAAACCTCACGAATTAGAGAGGCTATTGTATTACCCTCTGCCGCCTGGGAGGATCCATGGAGAACTTCCACGGCCATTGCACAGTTAGTTTCCACTTCTATTCTTCGAAATCCTTGATTCCAGGCATGTTTCAAAGTATCATGAATTGCCCACAATTTCGCATTCAAAATAGAACATATGCCTGGACTCCGAGAGAAGCCAAAAATCAGTTAACCTTAAGAGTCCCTCAAAACTCCCCTAGCGGCAGCCATGTTCCTCAGTCCTCCCACAGCTCCATCGACGTTAGCCTTCAAAGGTATTCAAACATTTGCATGAATCAAGGTATTCAAGTTTTTGCACGAACAAAGTTACCTCAATGGTTTAATAGATAGTTGTTATCCTTAGAGGTATTAGGTTCGAACATCATAGACTATAAGGGTGTTTGAATTTTCATTATCAAATGATTTAGAACCTTTAGAACATATATTACTTTGTAATCACCCTAGATTAATAAAAAAAATCAAACATTGGGTATATTTAGAGCAACAAATAAGAATTGAGAAGCGTGGTGTTAGGTTAGTTCCGTTGAACATACTTGTGGCGGCCTATCGAAGCTCGTGCACATTGACTCCACATTTTAAAAGGATTCCAATCTTATAATCTGCATCTTACGTACTTTTAACTGTATTTTATACTACTTTCGATGTTTGTTGGTGGCAAGTTGGTATGATGCATCATAAAAGTCTAGAATTCCATCAAGCATTGTACATCTCATCTATTTTTATTTTTTAGAATAACATGTTTTCATCAATTCTTAATCGATCTATATTATGCATTTCCAAGGCCCCACTAGCAAAAGGTAATGGACTTGAGCCCTTACCAATTAAGATGTGGATGATCATTAGTGTTTATGTTTGAGTCTCTTTAAGTGTAAACATCATGTATGGGCAATTAATTCCTTTTTTTAATTTAATATTTATTGATTGGTTTCAGTTATAATTAGTTTTTTTTTTCATTTGTGTTTTAATTTGGACGTGCTCACATCTTCATGATGAATTTGTCAACTTAAAAATCATAATGATTTATTAAAATTGTAGTTATACGAATTTGAATATGTTTATAATCCTGAGAAAAATTATTATGTTTTGATACAATGCATACTTTTTTAATACTGAAATTATTATTATAACGTATCATGTTATTGTTATGTCTAATGTTTAATTGTTAGTGATGTATTTATAATAATCTTTTAATCGAGCAACTAAATTGTAACTTTTAAAAATATCCATTTATAAACAAACTAATAATTTAGTGACATACGGTGTATTTTAAATCGCGAGAAAAACTTTTTCATTAATTATGTCAAATAATTGAGCATGATTGATTCATTTAAGCTTTGAGAGTAGGATGTTTTGGCTAGAGATATATTTGAATGAAATTCATGTGGGGTTTCACTTAAAAAAGAGGCAGGATAAGAAGCGTAGATTTGTTTCAATTTGAAACATGATATGCACCACACATATAGTGTTTTAAACACGTGAATAAATAAACTGAAATAATAAAACAATGTGGTTAACGTCGAATTAAGTTGTCTCTTCACTTGGTAAGCAGTTTTCCACCGACAGCCTTTGCGACATCGTGCCAACGATCCGGAGTGTCCTTGCCGTACGCAGCCACTACCGGTGTAGATTTAGCCAAAAGGCCTGACCCGTCTCTTTACAGACCATAAATTAAGTTTGCAGTTTATGATTTTCGATTTTTTAAAAAAGAAATAAATATCTAATTTATAAATTATAAATTATAAATATATATATATATATATGTTTTTTCAAAATATGTTTAAATATATATTTATATGTAATGTACTAAAGAGAGTGGATTTATGCACGACCATCACTTGTACAATCCATAGTGTTCACAATGCATGAGCTACTTTTTCAGTCCAATCAATCAAATCATTGGTTTAATTGCTTAAATTAATGATCGGATGTGTACTATCTATAATCAATTTCGTAGAGTGAAATTGTGAAAACAAATGTAACCTCTAGAGTGTATATGGGTTTTTTATTTTCTTTTACGAAGATAATATAATATTGGATTTATCAAAAGTGTATGTTCAATGATTATGCATTGATTTACATCATGTTCAATGTTTTAGTCGATCACACTTTAATAGAAAATTTGTTAGAGAATATATGTTTTTTAATGATTTTATAAATTTATATTTTATTAGTATAATACTTACGTATATGTTTATATATATATATATAAACACGAGCTTTGGCGACATGTTTGATTTGTAAGTCCACTTTCTTAGTAATCTGTGGTTGTAAAATGATGTATACATAGGCTTAAACCTTGGATCTTCGCTTGACATGTTATTCCCCATAGTAAAACGGATAGACATATATATATATGTGATTACATCAAAACAAAATACGTGGACAAAGTAATACAATGTAAAATATATATAAACTGAAATGATAAAATTGTTGTGAAATTCGGGTTAATTTCCACCAATAATAACAAATTCACCTTGAAAACTATTATCTAGTGACTAGTGTAAAAACGATTATACTAAAAATCACCCCAAAGTAGATTCTCAGAAAAGTTGAGGGGTCACAATGGTCCCTCTTAAAACCTACTTTCCTTAGACAGAACTACCAAGACAAGTAATTTTAATAGGACAATAATTAACAACAACTATACCCGACAATAGCTATTAAATAGACATAAAGAGAATACCAAAATTTAACGAGGTTAGGCCAAAATTATGCATACCTCCCCGAACACTACTAAAATAATATTTCACTAATAGAGGAAATATTACAAAGAAAAATAAAGAATACAAATAGCATTTAATATAGAAGAAAGCTTATATTTGTGGGATACTTAACTAAGGAGGAGGAGGGCTCTATTTATAACAAAAGAATTTCCCCTCCTCCTTATACACAACCAATGTGAGACTTTGCCAAAAAACCAACAAATCTCCACCTTGGCAAATTCCACACACATCTCTCAAAAATCCAATATTCAGTAGTGTCTGCAAATGCATCTTTCAATTTGTAACAATATTGACCAAGTCTAAACAATGTTTAAACTTGACCGCAGTTACCACTTTTGTCAACATATCAGCAGGACTCTCAGTGGTCTGAATCTTCTGGATTATGACTCCACCTTCTTCTAGAATCTCTCGTACAAAGTGATATCGAACATCGATGTGCTTCG